AAACCCAAACATCTTCCAGAAATTGATCCAATTCAGCTCAAGAACATTGCTAAAAATGTTAGCCAACATAGCTGGTGAGTCAAAGAGACATTTGACTAAGACGTAGAAATGGCTTCTGAAAAGTTGGCCAAACCACAGGTAAAGGTTAGCCCAGAGTAGCTAACCCTCATTAAAATATCCAGTTGTACAGTATTTAGAAGGTCCTCCAAGAAGGAGTAGATGAACATCTGACACCTGGTTCCACAGACTCCAGCTTCTGGTCTCCTCTGACCTTTGTCATGTTGAGCCTGCGTCTGATGTCACTGACCATGATGATTGTCATCACTGTGTTCCTCATCAAGAACAAAGGTGAGTCCATTCATGTCTTCATCAAAGCTGCTGTAGGCCAGGGTTACAAATGAGCAGAGAGTCAGGATCACATGATCTGGAATCACCTGAACCTGACCTGGAGATCCTCACTGAACACCAGCTTTCTAATGGTCCACACCAACGTGTCTTGACCTTAGTAGACAAATGTTAAAGTGCTAAAGGTTAGCTACAAAGGTTAGCTAAAGCTACAAGAGCAGAGGTAAAAGACAACACCAAAATTATACGACATCCAGAAAACAGCTAAAGGTCGGACAGAAGATCACCACAAAAGTTAAAGGTTGGATCAGAGAAAAGAAGTTCTTTTTACTGTGTTGTTTGTCAAGTTTTTCCTGAATCTGTTTTTGTGTTTTCTGGATTTTTCCAGTGTTAAAAAAAGACCGGAATGGAGACAAGAACCTGGAGTTAAAATCCAGACGGACCTGTGGTACAGTCTGTACACAGTATTACAGTACAGTCTGTACACAGTATTACAGTACAGTCTGTACACAGTATTACAGTACAGTCTGTACAGAGTATTACAGTACAGTCTGTACACAGTATTACAGTACAGTCTGTACAGAGTATTACAGTACAGTCTGTACACAGTATTACAGTACAGTCTGTACACAGTATCTGCTTCTACTTTTTACTGATATTTTGATTAGATTATTTCATCACATGTTCAGTTGATGTGAAATAGAAACAGGATTAGTCTGTGTATAAACCCTCTGACTGTTGAGTAAAGTAGAAAAAACAGATCATTTTCTCACGTCAAGCCGTTCTTCTTCTTTCGTTTCCTGTGTATGAGCAGTGAACATCACACATCACTGTTTGGTCACACGTTCTTGGAAGAGAAGAACGGTGAATTCAAAATAAGAGAGATGAAATGTCATGTAATGGTATGTTTTACTATATCCATCATGTAATATATCATATAATCATGACATCCTTTCAGTAATTGTACTTTTTATCTATATGTTTTGTGTTTGACCTTTCCTGACCTGTTCTGACCTTTCCTGACCTGAGTCTTTGGTTTCAAACTCAATAATCCACTCTCAGTTTCTCCGTCATCCGCTGCCTTTTATTTGACTTTTTACAAAAAATAACGAGTCACATTTAAAAACCAAATATCAAACATCACACATGTCACAAGTGAATGTTACACAGTCGTCACGGCAACACATGGACCAACGGGACTAGCTGTACAAGAGAGAGACAGACACACATTATGTACCGGAGTGTACACTTAAAAATATACACCGAAAATACACCATCTCTGACATATTTACACCAACAGTCACACAAACAACAGTCACAGACGGAACAGCACGTCAACAGAACATTCTCTAACTGTTCTACACCTTGAACAAACAGTGTTCTTCTCCTTCAACACAACAGAATCACTTGGTCTTTATTGTATTTTTTTATTTCTCTTCGCTCTGTTGCTCTGCTGTGGCTGGGTTTCACCACAGGAACTTGTACCAGGAACCAAGTGTGATTCACCACAGGCACTATTCAGTGCACCAGCAGCTTTAGTTTTTTTTCGACATGACAGTTTCACACAGGCCTCGGTTCAGTGTCGACGACTTCTGATTGGCAGTTGAACAAGAACCACGGGACTGTACATGATATTTAGTAACAACAAACAAACATGCAAGTGATCTGGACCAGAGTGGACGTGGACGAACAGCGGACACTGTACGATGGTCCCTTTGTAGAAAGACAACTGTTAACGTCAATACCCCAGCAACAATAAAATCAAACTCTCTGATTGGTCGGCTGTGTTTCACGTTTCCTGATGCCAGGAACCGTTGAATTATGACCAACAAAAACACTGTTGGTGTCCGTGGTCCCAGAGGATGAAGCATCGAAATGTCGATGACGCACCATGTGTCGTCGGACGCTGGGATCAGCAGGCTGACGGATGAGACGGATGACGACCAGGAGCTCAAACTAACTCAAACTGAATCACTTCTTCCTATCGATCATCCGTCCACTGCAGGTTCACTAAGGTCCAGCGTGAACCCACAAAGAACTGACCAACAACACCTGGACCACAACGACTACAAAGACTGCCCCTATTGTGTCAACCAGGTACTGCAACAACATGCATGGACCACAGCAACACGGTGACCAAGTACAGTCACAGTCCTGAGACAACAGGCGGCCAAACCTTCCTCACAGGAACCAGGTGTAGGTGCCTTCACCCATATGACAACGAAGGACAACATCTCAGTTTGAGGGATGACCAAAAACACCAACAGGTGCTCCTCCAGCCTATCACCCAGTAGAGGGCACTCTGGAGCAGCCCGATGTTATGGTACATCCATTTCCAGTGCCCTCTTGGCCGAACACAGAGTGACTCCTTACAGCCAATCAACACATGACGCAGCACTGGATGCCACAGGATGTTAATGATGAGAGACAGTCGATCCTAGACAATCAGTCTGCGATCAGTCTGCGATCAGTCTGCGATCAGTCTATCCTACGAGTATGTATTTTTCAGGCAGATTGTCGTGGTGCAAATTAGATCAAAATATCAACATAATCTGGTTCAACAGTTCAACACCTGATGTCTGATGAAACTGCGTCCCCATTTGCCACCTCACCCCCCCCCCCCCCCCCCCCACGTCAACAGAAGAAGTAACAGTTTGAACTCACACAAACTACTATATTTGGTTTTGTAAAACATCGGTAGAGGCTCAGACTTCCACGTCTGCAGGCAAAGCTGACGTCAAACTGACAGTGTAAGAAAACCAGCAGAACAGAACCCACATCAACATGGTCCACATGTCCCAGTGGGACGCTGCGTACCAGCACACCTAAGCAGAGGATTATGGTTTTTAATCCTAGATGAACAATGACGTTGTGTTTACGACCTTGATGTGCCTCTGTGTCTGGCAGTTGTTGGACGTTTACATGAAGGTCTAAAAATCAGGCAGTGTTTTGGTCCAGCAGTGGTCACTGACTCGGACGGACTGGACACCAGTGATCGATCAGCCTCTAACGGTCCACCTTAGGGGAAAAAAAACCCCCGAAAACCCTTTCACGTTGTCTTCAGTTTTGAAAACAGGTTAAGTATTAGCTTAGCAATTATCGTAAAGTTAATGCTTAACAGTAGTGTAGCATAGCTGCCTCCAGTTTCTCTAATTTTTAGCTTTGTGTCTTTAGTTACATACTAAACATTAGCTAAACCACAGTAGCTTGGAGTAGCTAATGTAACGGGCTACTAAAATACTTAAATAGAGCTAATGTTTAAGAGAGAGTGACATCTAGTGGTGAGATTTCAGAGTCTGGTAATTAAGCACTCATTAAGCCAGTGGTTGGTTGCTAAGCTGATACTGAATGCTAACAATTTTAACGACATCCGTTGCTTCTTTGCTAAATATTAACTTTAATCTTCATGAAGGGACAGTTTGACCAAAGACTGGAACTGATTTTTTAATCTCCTTTCTTCGCATCATGACGCGTCAAAATCAACTCTGGACAAACGGACACATGGAGGATTTTTCTGCCAACACAAAAACAAAAAGTGCACAAATAAAACACGTCTCAACCCACAGAGTGCGTTTTAGCCCCTCCCTTGTGGTTGTGGGTCCAGTCCAGTCCAGATCAGTCCGGTTTCAGATCAGTCACTGGGGTCCTGGCAGTGGGAGCAGTGGCTCATGTCTTCAGAGTAGAGCTCCACCTGGATGGTGATGCTGTGGAAACCAAATTTGGTGTGGAGCAGTTCAGTGGCCTCGTGCAGCACGGACTGGGGATCGGCGCCCTCTTCTGACGATAAATGAGAAGCAGAACAAGAGAATGAGCCACAAGCAGAGTATGTTTGTGGCGCCATCTTAACGGAAGTTTAGACGCAGGCCTGTGGTACGTTACCTACGGCCAGGTGAACAGAGACCAGCGCCTGACCCAGAGTCAGGGCCCAGAGATGGAGAGAGTGCATGGACTTGACGGCCTTGACAGAGAGCAGCACCTCCTTCACTGAGTTGAACTCGATCCCTTTAGGAGACCCTGAAACAACAACACGCTGGAGATGAGTGTGTAATGAACCGGGAGAACGTTGGTGCATCTCAGTGTGTGCTCAACGCTGGAACTGTGAGATTTTCTCAGCCGTTGCAGGGCCTGCCTATTCAAATAGTGGCTCGAGGGCGACACGTGGCCCAGACACAACCGCAGAGCGGCCCAGTCTGTGGTCGTTTGAGAAACGGAGAGGATTGGTGAGTAACTATATATTTCTATAGTAGAACAGACCCTGAACGCAACACTGTGCAGCCATTACTACCCAGAATGCATCACTTGTATGTCTGTAGACATGTTTTACTGTAGCCATGTTATGATTGAAAATCCTCACTTTAATTTACCACAAAAATCTACTCAAAGTCAACAGTTTTATTCATAAATTCTGGTCCACATTCTGTCATCATTTCCTGTTTGTTCGCCTTCACCAAATGCGGTGTTGAATTTCCTAGTTTTCAGTTTGTGGTGTTTCCAGTACCTTCCATGAGTATCCTGAAGACGTCTCTGAGGATGGTCAGGGTGGTGCACAGGACAAAGACAGAGAACAGGAAGGTGCAGATGGGATCCGCTACTTTGTATTCTGGCTGAAATGGAGAGAAGACAAAATTTGAATGTGTTTTCATTTTTCAAACCATCTTTCCAAATTTTCTTTTCAGAAACCACAGGAACCAGAGAGAAGACCTCACAGGTGGAATAAAAACATTTAACACTGTAACAGTTTGATATTTTTAAGGCTGACTCTCAAATCACAAATAGAAATATACAAGTGAATATATAAGATAATATTCCTGTGCACTCGTCCCGTTACAATAGTAATCCACTTTTCCACACTGACATTTGGGTCTCACCCTAACAGGTATGTGATCTATATCTGACCCGAAAGAAGATGATTGTCGCCGCCACCATGACGCCGACGCTCTGCAGCAGATCCCCCACCACGTGGATGAAGGCGGCGCGTACGCTGGTGTTGCCGTGGCCGCTGAGGAGCGCGTGGCTGTGATTGACGGGACTCCGACCGTCCTCGTCAATGTGGCGGGGGGGCACTCCCCGGGCGGGGGGGGGG